GCTTCTTAAGCATGAGAATGGAAGAGAAGATCTCCATGTCTAAATGTAGAATGTGTTCGCAAAAGAGGGAGATAGTCCCAACCAAATTGCGGATAAAATTCGGGTGGAGCTGACCAACGGTGACGTCGAAGTGGTTCATAACCTCGACAATAAGAGGGTGGAAAGGTAGGCGCAGCCCAATGCCGAACTGCTCCCGGAATATCACGATCTCATCAGGACCGTGTTCCCAAGGGAAGTCGCCCGAGGGTATAAAGTAAGTATACTCCCTAGGTAGGTTGAACTAGGCGATAAGGGAGTACAACCCCTCAGGCGTCATGGTTGAGGGCCCAAACTTGTCTAACGTTCGACCTCGACGGGAGGAGGATGCAAACTACCCGAGGCGACTCGGCCTACGGGTTCGAACTCTTCCTCGAGCTCCCCCTCGAGCTCACTAAGGCTGTCGGGGGATGCAGCTCGGTTCGTAGAACCTGCATCTGACCCCCTCGAGAAACTGTCTAAACTGTCCGAGCTAGACATCGGGAGGAAAAGAATACCAGGAAGAAAGTATTGACTCACCCGGAAAAAGCAAACGGACTACGGAAGGTTGACGCGAGCTAAAACTTGGACGCGAGCTCAAGAAGCAAACGCAGGAGAATGGCAATGGAAAGCGACTGGGGGTCCCCCACTATTTATACCCATAGTGACTGAAAACCGACGGCTCTAATCGAGACAAATCCAACGGCCCACGATCAAGCTGACCGCACGCCTCCTAAGACCGAGATGTGAATGGCTGCGTCTTTGGAAACTGAAGCAGCGTCGATGCACGTCTCCCAACAGTGAAGGCGACAACGGCACGTTTTTCAAATTTGAAATAACGCCTGTTGTCACGTCTCCCAGCATTGAGGACAACTGTGGTGCATTTTTTGAATTTGAAATAAAACGCCCGCCGTCACATCTCCCAGCATTTAAAAACGGATTGGCGCGTTTTCTGACTTTTTAGCGCTCGAGGAATCCGTAAATCTCCTAACATACGCACACTTCGCGCCATCAGTCAACCGGTTGAAGTATAGATCAAATCCACCTGTCACCTCGCGAACTCCCCGCGCCAGGGCTAGACCCTTAGCGCGAGGAGTGGGGGGCAATTGATGGAGGAAGATTTGGCCCGACCTCTTGGCCACCCAACACGTGGAAGCAACCGAAGGTGACTTGGTAGGAGCAACAGCTCGGCACGGCAGTACGCTCAAGGCGTGAGCTCCGAGAGGAGGAACCAATGGTCCGAGCTCCCCAAAAGGAGCCCGAACTCTCCCTTTGACCTCGAAGCTTACGAGGAGCGCAAAGGGCAACAACTCGAATTGGCCCACCCCAGGGCAGTTCGGGCCACACTTCTATCCGAACTCAAGACTTCACCCCGCACACCACTCCGGCACTTCGTCTCCAGGCCACCGAACTAAACAACCGTACCTGACACCAAAGGAGTCCGTATCCTGAGGCGGTGCACCTGACTGATTTAGGATTTGACGCTTGACAGCCGCACTTCAACGGCCACTTGCCACCGCCACCTCCAGTTACAGAGACGGCTCCGACAAAGAGGGCAGTGGCGGTTGTCTGCCCCAACAGAGATGATGACACCCGAACTGGCAGAAGTGCAGAGGCAATGATACCCGACCTGATAGGAGCTTGGGAGTGAGTGCACGAAGTGGTTATAAAAGGCCCCCTTCCCCCAAGAAGAGAGGTACGTGATAACTTTGCGCCATCTGTTTTTTTATCTTGCCTTTGAGGAAATACTAATTTGAGATTCGAAGCATTCTCATCGGGTTCCTCCCCGGAGACTACTTGACCTTTTGCTCCAAGGTAAGGCTATTCTTTTTCTTTTCTATTTTGATCTAGGATGATGGGATTGTAGCATAGCGGGCTATTGCTGAACTAGTTCATGAATAACAACTGTTAACAATAATGCTTCACTTTTTACTGTGATTGATTAGTTGTTTGAAAATAGTGGCTCGTGCCAGAATAAATCACACAGTGCCCACAAGCTATCCAACGAACAAGGCCGCTTCGAGTCTGATCTCAGCCATGGATTCCCCTTCCCACTCCAATGCAGTGGATCCACTGGTCTAAGATGTAGATCCTTGCAGAGGCCTTCCAGACTATTCCCACCAAGCCCGTGCTGGTTCCATACTTCCATCTATGCTCGACCCTCTCATGTCTCCGACAAAAACCAACAAAAATGGAGGCAACGAGCCCAATTTGTATATACGGTGTCGCTTCTATATTCTCATCTATGACTCTAGCTTCTTTGTATATTTTCCTTCTCTCCATTTCCAAACATCGACATGCCGGTATTGAAATAACAGGGATCCCAACCTTGAAACATTTGAGAGAAAAATGGGTCAAGCCAGAACTTGTCGGTGAAGTAATTAGTGAAGTTGGCATGGTAGTAATCTAGTGCACCAATGACATGTCTACCCAAATCGGTTTGTCATAACAGTAGTTAAAGGAAACTTTTCTCTCAGAAATTGCTTTGGTTTTGGTCCAAAGATGATGGAATATTTAGAGGAGAAGAAAGACAAAAGTGTTGTCGTAGGGATAAAAAATTTGACGGTTGGTTCTAATTTTAGTGGATGGTTGATGAAGAAAGTTAGATGACACTTGAAGGGCATTTGTGTCTTTTCACATGCCACTTAACAACTAATTAACGAGAGATACTCGATTGTCATGTTTTGAAAGTTCAAGTACTATATTATCGCATTTTAAAGTTTAAGGACCAAATTGTAACTCGAACCAAAGTATAGAGTACTAATCGGAAAATTTCCCCAAATATAAACTACATAATTTGTTGATCACAAAATACATTGTTATTTAAATGGATGATACCATAGGAATACAAAATAATCGATTTGGGTATTGGACACTTGGACATTTCACATTTGAACTCTGTTTTCCATTGACATCCCTCATACTCAGTATTATTTTACCTCATAAATCATATTATTTAGCCACGTGGCTACTTATGTTATGCATATTCCCACCTATAACCCATTGTCCCTGGTTTCATTTAGGGAAAATTCCATATTAGTACCCTGTACTTTGGGTTTAGTGCCACTTTGGTCCCCAAACTTTAAAATGCGACAATTTAACATCCCGAACTTTCAAAACATGCCAATCTAATACTTGTAATTAGCCAACTTGTTAACCAGCTACTAAGTGCCATTTGAAAAGGCATAAATTTCTTTTGAGTGTATTATAGTTCTCTTTTATCAACCATCCAAAGTTGACAAAAAACAGCACAATGCAGATTTCTGATTTCCACTGATATCTATAAACATTCACAATATGCACCCAGCCCAAGGCCAACCCGTGAATTGACATCACCTACCCCACAAGTACAGGTTAACGATAGTTGATACATTCACACATTTTAAAAGTTCGGGTGACACTAGGCCTGTACTAATAGAGGGTAATCCGGAATTTTCCTTTTGTCCCTTTATTTTTCCTGTGAGTGTGGCATTCACTTGTTTCTAGCCAGGGAGGCGGAAAGCTCGGCTCCGGCCAGTGAAAGCGAGGGCGGAGTGGTTTGACTGAGTCAGATGTCCTACGGCATTCCAGTCTATATTTAGAGGCTGTCTGGTATCGGTCGGCCAAGGGACGACGGAGAAACGACTAACGGGAGAAAATCGATGATCCTGCCTAGAGTGGTATTGTCCAGTTGGCCGTTGGTCGTTGTCTATGTGGGTCTACGGATCCCACAAGACTTGAGTCTTTTGACTTCGCTATGTACACACATAAAATTAAAAAAAAGAAAAAAAAAAGATACTCCCTCCCTCCCTCTCTCTCTACCCCCATTTCCCCTTCATCTCCGCCATTTCTTCCTCCCTGCCATTTCTTCAATTGAAAACCAGAAGTTTTGTTTCTAACCCTAGGTTTGCAGAAGAATTGGCCTTCATTTCTCTGGACTCAGCTGCAAACCTTTCGAATTTCCGCCATTATCAAGCTCTCTCTATTGTTAATCTGCAACAGATCTTCGACTTGCTGAAACTGTCAAAACTTGATGTCATTTAGGGATTTTCAATGCCGCCTGACTTAGAGGATCTTCACAAGCAATGCCACGATTAAATTGTTACCAGAAATTTTTTCCAAATCGACCTCATCTCGTTCCAGCAGTATTCAGGTCTTTGTGTTTGTCATCAATTTTCGGGGTTTTGAAATAGGAACTACATTGCACGGAGTTCTCAGTGATTGACATGAGCAGAGGGAGGTGGGTTCGATCTATCTTCATTTTTGTCATTGTTGCTTTATGTTCAACTCGACACATTAGCTGCCAAGATGAGGGAGATTCGAACCATTTGGACGATCCTGCGGCGGTTCCATTCCTCTCTGAAGTTATTTACAGTCGGCTTTCGAATTTTACCAGTGTCTTCAGTGCGGAGATTAGCAAACATTTGAGCTTCTGTATAAAGGATACGTGCGTTATTCTCCTCCTGAACTCTATACTCGTCCTTCTTTCTCTTTATCTCAAGATCTTGGTTCTCTTCAAGGAAATGTTCTATACGTAGTTAATTCTGTAACTTTCTTTCTTTTTTTTGATTAATTAAAATTCTGTAACTTTCTTTCAGGGATGCAGACTGGAATGGAGCATTCAACTTTACGTCTAATTTGACTTTTCTGGGTGCTTGCCTCAAGAAAACCAAAGGTAGACACTGTTTCCAAATTTCCAAAATATGTCCATCTGATTGCTAGTCTATATCTTCTATCCGTATATTATTGCATTTATATATTTAAAGTGCAAAGTAGAATACAAGATGCGCTCCTTGTTTGTGGTCCTCCACAATGAACTCTGTACTCTGTTGATTTTCCACTTTGCAATTGGAGCCACTACTCTGCTCTTTCTCTTGCCTGCCGGCTCTAGAGAAAGTCTAGAAGCTGCACCAGAACAGAAAGAGGTGCAGAAAACAGAGATTGGAATTTGAATGTCAGTGGGCAAAATGGTCATATTTTGCTTTTCTTCTTCTTCTTCTTCTTCTTCTTCTCTCTCTCTCTCTTTTAATCCCTTCCTTCCGTTTGAGCAAGTTTGTCATATCTATTATCTCCTTTCTGATAATAGGCTCAATTTGATCTACAGGAACTCTTAAAAACCGATTGTGTACCGCGGCGGAAATAAAGTTTTACTTCAATGCTTTCTATACACGCGGGGCAAAAAGTACAAACTACTTAAAACCTAACCAGAACTGCAATTTATCTGCATGGGTTTCTGGATGTGAGCCAGGATGGGCTTGTAGTGTTAACGATCAGGATAAGGTTGACCTAAAAAATTCAAAGACTCTGCCTGTCAGAATTAGCGACTGTCAGCCATGTTGCGAGGGTTTCTTCTGCCCTCATGGTATTACATGCATGATACGTAAGTATTTCTTGGTCCCCAGTATTTTCTTTTCCTTTATGATGAAAAAAGGGCCCTTGCCAAATGTGGTCTCTACTATCTGGGGTCATGGGAGGGGTGGATTGGTTACGGACCTAACCTTCTGCATTTTTCACAGGGTGGTTGCTCTCAGACTCAAACCCAAACTCTACTGGTTGTCAGCCCAAGATTTTACCATTACACCAAGCAATTGCCCCTTCATATGCTGATAAAAATCAGAAAAACAAATAGAAATTAAACCAGAATAGAAGGTTCAGAAGAGGGAAGAATAGAAGAATAAGAAGGAAAGGAAGAAGACAGTTATACCCCTATTTTTTTGTAATATCGAATGAGTAGAAAATGATAATCGTACCCCTTGTCACAATGAGTATCTCTAGTGATGATAAACTGGACTACCCAGGTGTGGACCCCCCTCATCCCATGGAGTAGTCACCACATTGGCATTTTTGCCCTTATTATTTTTATTCCTGGATCTAGCTAGCTTGAGATGTGTATGTAGCTCCAAAGAACGTATTGGGTTTGTTAAAAAAATCACAGGCTGCGTCTTTCTTTTCTTCCAAACCTTGATCAACTAACATAGTAGGTGATAACTTGAACATTGGCACTACAAATGATACTTCAAACCAGTTGAGGGGTATAATTAAATAATCTCCATCCTTAAAGGATGTATTTATTAAGAGGAAAAAAGGTATCATTTCCAACCTAGAAAAAGGGCAAAAGGTATGTACGATTATAGAAATGCCTTTTTGGAAGAAGAACTACCTATCTTTGGGTGGTAGAATCACTTTGATTAAGGCCACCTTGTCTAGCTTGCCAGTATACTATCTTTTTATTTGCAAGATTCCAAAGAAAGTAAGAAAAGTCTTGGAAAAATTGATGAGAGGTTTCTTGTGGGAACCAGGGGAAGACGGGGAAGACCATAGGGTGAAGTAGGAAATAGTGTCTAGGAGTAGGGGCGATGGAGGCTTGGGATTAGGCAACATTTGGAAGAGAAATGAAACTTTCCTGGGAAAGTGGTTGTGTTGGCTAGCAAGAGAAAGAGACAAGTTGTGGGGTAAGGAAATACTGAGCATTCATGGGCAGGCAGATGATGGCTGGGACTCTGGGGTTTTGGTAAGGGCTACTAGTACCTCTCCTTGGCGATCCATACATGCCATTCTTCCCTCTTTTCTGTAGCACATCAGGTATGATCTTTGTTCTGGGAACTAGGTGAAATTCTGGGAGCATCTTTGGGTGGGTGATGTGCCTTTGAAAGACCAGTTCCCCTCCTTATTCTCTCTTTCATGATAGAAAGGGAAAATTGTCTAATTTTTTGGTCCCTTTTGAGTCAAACTTCGGCTTCGTTTGGGATTTGGGTCTTAGAAGAGGCATTAGGGATTCAGAACTTGGAAATGTTTTAGGGTTAATTCAGGTTTTGAATGAGGTGGTTTTGGACCTTTGAAAAAGGGATATAGTAGACTTGTACCTTATCTCCCTCCAGTGTTTTTTCTTGTGCATCTTTCTTTAAGTCTTTGGTGCAATCTGCCAATTCCATTGCCCAAACTAGTGCATCTTGGAAAGATGTAATACTTGTGACTTACTCCAAAGAAAAAGGCCTAATTGGTGCTTGTCCCCAAACTAGTGCATCTTGTGCAAGGCTAATGGTGATAGCCCTTACCACTTATTAATCGCTTGCCTGTTTGGTTCTGTTATTTGGGAGTGGTTTATGGCTTTGTTTGGTTACAGGTGAACCCCTCCAAGTATACAAGGGTTGTGTTAGTGTAGGGGTATTTATGTCTTTATACTTATGTTGAGGTTCCCTAATTTGAACCAGACTTTTCTTCTCTCTTTTTCTCCTCCTTTCTCTCTCTCATTCTTCCCTCTTTCTTCCCTAACTCGGATCTGCCCAGATTTCTGTTCTTTGCGCACTCAATCTAGGGTTTTCCCTTGATTTCTCTGCCATCGATTGGAGATAAGGGAAAGGGGTGAAAAGGAGTGGTCGCCCTCTTCTCTTGGAGGTTTCTATGCCTCCAGTTGTGTCTTGTGTGGTCGGTTGCTGTGGTTTCTAAGAAGCCCTCCCCTAATCGATGAAGAGAAGAGGGCTGATTCGTGTGGTGCAGTGGGTGTCTTGTGTGGACTGATTTTCTTCTYRTGTGGTTTGTCTTTCAAGTGATGAGGTAAGAGATTTCTATGCATATTTTCTGTTATGAATCAAATAGGAATTATGTTTCAGATCGTATGATGGAATTTCATACTGTAGTATGCTAGGGTTTATGCTGTTTTTTGTGTGATTTGAAGGAGTGGTGCTCATATAGTGGTGAGATTTCAGGTAGTCGTAGGGTAGGGTTTGTGGTGTAAAGAGTGCAATTTTCAGCAATAACAAGTGCTGAAACTAGTGTGATCAAATAGTGTGCAGTGTGCCGAATTTAGTGATAACAGAATTCAACAATGGGAGATAATAGTGATAGCAAATCTAATGTGATGATACCTACTGACTAACTGAATGTTCAAATGACCTCCATTAAACTGAATGGAGAGAATTATGTACCTTGGGCTAAATCTGTAGAAATTTTTCTGAAGGCAAAGAAGAAGGTGAAACACATAAGGGAGGAGACGCCCTCCACTGATTCTCATGAGTATGAAGACTGGGAACAAGAGGATGCACAAATTATCACGTGGTTAT